TTATTATTTTGGTTATTAAAGAAAATAAAATGTTTCTTTTAAGAAAGGATTTTTTAAACCTGAGACAAAGACAAGTGGAAATGTTTATTTCTCTTTGGTGACTCAAGTGTTTATTTGAATAAAGAAAACTGCAATGATAATAGAGGGAACATTAGAATAAATTAAAATCAATCAGGACAGATTTATCCTAGATATTGTTGTATTTACAGCAGATATTTATATTCATATCCAGAGTTGACACCTACTTTTTACTAAGGAGATTAACTATGAAACACGAGACGTTGCATCAGAATAGAGGCGTAGATTTTGTTTTACAGCAAAATTTAGAGTCAGTTTTCACTCTGACACAAAGAATCGTTGAGAAAAAAAGSCATCTAGTGACATTTGAAGCTGGGAGAAAGGCAGAGCTTGACCTCCTACATCTGATGATACAAGTATTCATCTGCAACACAAAGACAGTTCTGTGTGTAATACAGAGGGAAAAACACAAAGACAAGTGAGGAGAGACGAGTGAAACACGGTTTGTTTCAGATGTTTGGGTGTAAATAGAAACATCAGTTTCATTCTTAGAAACATGGGTGTAAAAACTATACTGTATCTAACAATACTGAGCCTGACTAAATGAAACAAACAGCTTAGAAAACTATGCTGAAAATATTTTTATTTTTGGGTCAATATATTTTACGGGTTTGCTTGATACGGAACGACCTAAAAAACTAGCCATACATATAATTAGAGTCTACAGACAGGACTGGAAACCAGAAGCTGAAGCCACCATAGAGTACGGTGCCTTGTGAAAGTATTCGGCCCCCTTGAACTTTTCAACCTTTTGTCACATTTCAGGCTTCAAACATAAAAATATGAAATTGTAATTTTTTGTGAAGAATCAACAAATGGGACACAATTGTGAAGTGGAACGAAATTTATTGGATATTTTAAACATTAACAAATAAAAAACTGAAAAATTGAGTGTGCAAAGTTATTCGGCCCCCTTGCGTTAATACTTTGTTGTAGCGCCACCTTTTGCTGCGATTACAGCTGCAAGTGGCTCGTGGTATGTCTCTATCAGTTTTGCACAGGGAGAGACTGAGATTCTTGCTCATTCTTCCTTGCAAAACAGCTGGAGCTCAGTGAGGTTGGATGGAGAGCATTTGTGAACAGCAGTTTTCAGCTCTTCCCACAGATTCTCGATTGGATTCAGGTCTGGACTTTGACTTGGCCATTCTAACACCTGGATATGTTTATTTGTGAACCTGTCCATTGTAGATTTTGCTTTATGTTTTGGATCATTGTCTTGTTGGAAGATAAATCTCTGTCTCTGTCTCAGGTCTTTTGCAGAGTCCAGCAGGACTCCAACATTCTTCCAGAATGGTCCTTTATTTGGCTCCAACCATCTTCCCATCAGTTTTAACCATCCTCCCTGTCCCTGCTGAAGAAAAGCAGGCCCAAACCATGATGCTGCCACCACCATGTTTCATATATGTCAACCTCTTTGGATGTTTACCTGTATAAAGAGCCCTAAAAATCCATAAATTTTGCAAAAAATCCTTACAACAGTCAGCTGTGGACATGAAAGCGCCTGCTGCGAAGCAGGAGGAAAGGAGAGAGGAAAAAGTAACTTATTTCTAGCGGCAGAACAGGTTGGGAGATGGCTGTTTGATGTTATTTATTGTTTTTTAAATCATCCTATAGGCTCTTTGAAAATGAGATTTTTAAAATATCTGTAAGACTTGAAAAAATCCGTGAGATTGCTCTATACGTCCGTATACCTTCAAAATGACGTAAATCCTTATAACTTACAGACAATCTGTACAAGTTGACATGTATGATGTTTGACAGTGGAGATGGTGTGTTCAGGGTGATGAACTGTGATGTTTTTACACCAAACATATCGTTTTGCATTGTGGCCAAAAAGTTAGATTTTGATTTTCATCTGACCAGAGCACCTTCTTCCACATGTTTGGTGTGTCTCCCAGGTGGCTTGTGGCAAACTTTAAACAAGATATCTTTGAGAAATGGCTTTCTTCTTGACAGATTTGTGCAGTGTACGACTGATTGTTGTCCTATGGACAGACTCTCCCACCTCAGCTATAGATCTCTGCAGTTCATCCACAGTGATCATGGGCCTCTTGGCTGCATCTCTGATCAGTCTTCCCCATGTTCCAGATGAAAGTTTAGAGGGACGGCAGGGTCTTGGTAGATCTGCAGTGGTCTGACTCTCCTTCCACTTCAATATGATCACTTGCACAGTTCTCCTGGAGATGTTTAAAGCTTGGGAAATCTTTTTGTATCCTAATCCAGCTTTAAACTTCTCCACAACAGTATCTCAGACCT